CGCTGTCATTTTTGTCTGTTATATTCCAGGCGGGTCCATAAACATTTGTGATACTAAATTCACTATATTATTTTCATCGTTCTTTGTTGTGAGAAAAGATAAGTTAATTTTTACCGCGTTCAGCCCGTGTGCTCATTCGCTGTTACCACACTGGCCTTTTGTGTTAGTTCCTTTTTCATAGGTAAACATAATAAAAAATACATTTTTTTTATTACTTTCGGCATAGAACAACAATTTACATCACAATCGCAAAAGACCAAATAGTCTTTGAACTTTCCTTTATGTTTTTATCTATATATATTTGACTTGAAAACGGCATCCACGTACGATGATTTTACGGACGAGCCAAACGAATCGTGAACAAGTGTTCAACAAAAACGATTTGAAATTTTTGTTTACCGCTTGAGCCTTTGGCTTTTTCCGCGCCAAAGTTCCGAACGAAAACTTTTACTCGGCCGTTTTTATTTTCAGAAGAACTAAAACGTTTTCGCTCGTTAGGATGCACAGCAACTATTTGATGCGCTCAACCATATATAAATGGTATATATTATATATATATATATTTATATAATATCAAAGCTCCATAGCTAGGTAGATGTAAGGTTATGTCGGATATTCGCAGTGCATTAAGGATAAAAGTAATCACGAGTTATTAGCCGGTCGCCGGGTTAATTGGAAAACCAATGAACGTCAAAACTGTTTATGGCCGTCTTCTAGGTTATTTATTGAAATCGGCTGTCCGTTACGACTAAACAATTATTATTTTAACCGTAAACAATGTTGTCGTGTGTTGGCATCACGGCATTGTGTATACGGCGGCTTAGGAAACGCTCAAATGTTGTCGGTCAACAAGGCACATATATATGTGACCGAACGTGGCGGCGGTAATCCAGTGGAAGTGATCGAAGGGTACTATGACGACAAGCTCTCTCGGGGGAGACTTATGTACGACCGATTCTATTTATATAAGACATATAGACGAAACGCGTTTGATGGGAAAATAGATTTGCCGAGGACCCTTTGGCGCAAATAACGACACACTTAATCGGGATACGCCGTCGACGTTTTAGGGTCGCCGTGTCTATTTTGTGCCGCGGCCATAACGGACGGGAAATTGGTGGTCGGCTACTAGCTGCTGCTACACCGAGGGCAGAGCAAGAGCAAAACACGACCGGCCCAGCAATTTCGGTTGTGTTTTCCGACTCGAGGAGAAAATTGATTTTGTAACGCACGGGTGGCAGCGGTCATGTGTGTCGGAGAGAAATAAATCCTAAAGTAAAACCGCATCCGACAAAACGGACAAACTCTCTTGCAACGTGTGCAGAGGCAACTGAAACGACCACGGTGAATTTCCACTATACGCATGTAATATATTTTCCTCGTTATGGCTCGACCGTGAGAGAACATTCACGGCGTCGGTCGCAAATCACAAATTAAATATTCTCGCCGTTCTACCGAATGGATGTTTTTCTTCTATTTTGAAAACACCCGAAAGCAGAGTCCCCCGGCATAAAAACGGTATATTTTTATAAAAAAAAAAAAAAAAACACTACGATGTAACTGCTACGAGTTGCGAGTGTAAAACGATTTCCTAAAAATATTCAATAAGAAGTGGATTTTACATTATTTATACTGAAATTATTTGCAGAAAAAAAATAATCTACGCACTTCGGAAACACAGCGAGATAAAATTGATTTTATATTTATTTGTATATGCTTTAAGCTGAGTACGCAAATCTTTATAAATTATTTATACTATTGTCTAAGGAACTGAAGCGGTTCGAAAAATTTAAATTACATTTTTTACTTCGAACGATTCAAAAACGCCTAATATATTTTCAAATGCTTATCGACATTGGTCCGCATACTCACGTTGTTAAATCAGAGTGAATAACTAATTTTAATATATCGAGTTTTTAAAAGTGTAGGTAACTTAATGAGCCAATGTAAAGTTTTTAATAAAAAATAGTTTATACACTAATTTTTAGTTTTCAAGTAGTCTTAATTTTGAAATGTATAAATACGATGTGGTTATATTTAATTCACTAAACATAGTTTTAAATGTCAAAACCATAAAATATTGGAAGAAATTTGTACGATATTTATGTTTATTATTAGATAAAACATAAAAAACATATCAGAACCACAACACGTGTAAAAATGTGTAACTCACTTTATCGATCGTGTATGTTGCTGTAAAGGATATTGAATAGATAATATCAAAACAAATTGTATTCAAACAACTTGTACGGTCCAAAACTATTTTAGTGTTGTTTATACGCGTTCCGGATGCAAAAATATATCTAACCGAGAAAACTTGTTAACATAAATTTTGGTATAGCTCTCCACAAAGGTTTCACTTAAATGAACACATTTATATTCAAATACAAAGTAGGTAACCTAAAATGATCCAACCCATCTAACAAATGGGTTCAGAGAAAATATATTTAGTGTTCAAATTTTTTTATTAAATTTTTCTTTCAATTTAAAAGTTTCCCGGGAATCGAAACCATCAACTTAACCATCACTTTTCTCGGTATTTTTTTATAAGCTGTGTGCACTGAACTTCTAAACAAATTTATTTATTTATTAATAGTACTTATTTCAAAACATCTTCCTTAATAATCTTGTTCATTATGTAATACGACGCTAATGAAAATTTTAAGAGCAAAATCATTCATGTTTACTTCTTTTTTTCGGAAACTTTTTACAACTAACACTCTTTTTCAAAACGGTCAAATACATAATTAAACTTCAAGTACCTAAATGTAAAATCGTTATTTTCTTACAACGGATCTTAAAAATTACCTAACAGGACATTAATCGTTAATTTCCATGTTCTAATGTAAGATACTTGACTACGCAATGGCCAATATTCATTCTTATCCGGAACACAGAAAATACATTTTGTGTTTACTATCTTTTGATCAACATATACGTGTACTAATCATTTGTACTAATGGCGTACAAGTTAGCTAGTCAATAGATCCATTGAATGAAAATGAATAACGCATAATATTTCAAAACTAATTAAAATTTTATTCAAAATCTTGCAAGATAAATATTGTTATTGTTTTAGTAAAAAATGTTTTTTTTTATGCATATAAAAACCATGTACCACAATTACATCAAAATAATTCTATATTTTTGTAAAAAGCTCGTCCTGCTTCGGTAAGTGCGGTGATAGTATATTAACGGTGGCCACTCAATCGCTCGAGGGTAAACCGTTTTCGTACGCTCGTGAACCTTTTAATAGCTATCGTTGGCGGGGGTGGAAATACTTGGTTCATCCTATTTAAACCCGGACAAGGGGGAACTTGTTCCTTGAAACAAGACGGGAGAAGCAATAAAGATGAATTGTGCGATGTACAAAACAATGCACGGCCACAAGTAAGAGAACAGCAGAGGCGAGGGCCGCTGGTACACCACACCGAGTAATGCGTCCCTGGCGTGCCGTTATACTCAAGCCCGGACGCCAAGAATGTTAAATACCACCCGTCTCTTATTTCCTTAACTCGTTCTACCTACCACTATTAAATTGTAAAGTACGAATAAAAAAATGTTCCCGGAAAAAACTACAGATGGCCAAATGAATAGTTAAATTGAAAACAATGTCCATATTCCCTAATATTTTCTTTAGCTAAAAATACTGATCGATATTACGGGTTCTCGAATTTCTTTACCCGTGTCAGCGATTTTAAAATCAATTTAATGTTAAAAAATGTAAATGACTCTCCTAGAGTTTTCCAAAAAGGATTTCAATGGTACTGCACATATCGTAAAAATGTGCGCTCTAAGTTTTGACATTTTATATCTGTCGAAACGATAGTTTTTTTCAACACGTGTTAAACCCATTATCTTTTTTCTAACATTTATAATCATAAAAATCATAGTTTATACATGCCACACGCTGACAGCTGCATACAAAACACGTAAAATTATACCACTAAAATAATTTAAAAAATCATAAAACCTCAAAATTAAAAATATGATAAGTTAAAAAATAAAATATTACAAGAGTATTATATTATTATACTACTTAATAGCTATTATAAAATAAATTACTTGGGAACAGTTCAAAAACTATGAGTAAAGTCCATAAAATATGCTAGACAGACACTCTTTTTGAGTTAGTAGTTAAAATTTTAAGTGCTAATTTATTACTTTCATACAAAATTATATTGCTATTAAACAAAGAGATTGATTATAGACTGTTGTCTATCTCCAAATAGATAAAATGTAGGTATATATAGTTATTGTTGTAATGTCTAGAACAAACATATACAATCAAAAATAATAAATATGCATCAGCTGAATAATTTAACATCGAATCGTACGGAAATATGCAAAGTCTTTATGTTTATTAAAGTTAAGAGTTGAAGTTTTGAATAGTGAACAAATCAAAAATGTTCTATTACAAATTTACATATTAATACCTGTAAATTTTAAGATAGTATTAAAGTATAAAAAAATAATGGAATTGTAAGTTACATATAAATATTACTCATTGTTAAAATCACTTAAAATAAAATAACTAGTAATTGATTTTTCTGATAAAGTTAATTTAATGAAAAAATATATTATTCTTTATTAATTTCCTATTGATAATTTTGAGTATTACATTATACTCATAGGCGCAATTTCAATTTTTAATTTGGGAGGGCTGCACATTTTTTTAAAATATATATATATAAGTAAATATATTTTTGTATTTCAAAATTGTATGCATAACCTATTTTTTTTGGGGGGTGCTAAGCCCACCTTAGCCCCCCCCCCGTATTTGCGCCTATGTACTACTCATTAGTTGTGTCACTATGCAAAACCAAAAATCATAATACAGTACATAGCTGTATATACATATTATAGTAATCCAAACATTTAAATTATATATCACAACAATGTCTAAATAATTTACAATTTCAACCTCCGATTTTATAACACAAATAAATACGTTAGGTTAGATTAGGTAATTCTTATATACTTTTATTTTGAGTATTTACCTGTAATAACATAAGTGCTTTCTTTTGATGATGACTTTCCAATCTGAAATAAACAAGTTTTAAAATTTTAATACATTATATTTAATATTATTATATATTTTAAAAAACAATAATCTGTTGTATGCGGTGATGATGGTTACATTGCTGCCGAAATACGTATACGCTATAGAATTATTTTTATGGTTAAAGGTTTATTTTAATATTTAATTATTTTATAATATATAACTACAAATGTTGCTTAAGTTTTTTCTAAATGCGTTATAGAAGTTGAAAACAAATATTAATTATCAAAATAGATTCCGCTTTCCTGTGCTGATATATATGTTTAATTATTTTAGCTTAGCTTAAAGTTAAGTTTAAGTGAAAAATTGCCTATACGATGCGCCTTAATTAACGCTAGTGTAAAGGCCTCTTAATTGAAACTAAAACGAGAAATGCAAGAGCACTATTATATGAAAATGATATAATAGATAAAACACTATAATCGATTTTTTTTAAAACGAGTAAGCAAATTATAATATTGTTAATTAATTAAAAGTAATTTTTTCATTTAAATCGATTATAAACAGCAAGCGATTTATAAAAATCAAGAGCAGATGCTCATTAATTTCCTGATTAATATAAAATGTATTATTGCGTTGAAGCAGTAACGTCGATGGTCGAACAACTATATTATATGAGCTCACCCGATCAAGTGTGGAATAACAGCGATATAACAAAAACCGCCTTTGTACTATATCGGCCATAATACAGGGGTCAGCTATAAGGAGACGGGCTAAACAGTATAAGGAGTAAAAAATGTGAAAAGTTGAAAAACATCACGATAACGACTAACTCAGGGACAAGCATTTTCTACATCATTTCCGGGTTCGCTTAACATATAAATTTAGTAGGTACTTGCGTGCAAAAGTACGTGTTCAATATTTTTATGGTAGACGTTTGGTCATTGTATATTATACATAAGAAACTTTATCGCTAAGAATTACGACACTTGGAAACAAGGCCATCACGTTTTATTATTACTATTATTTTCACATTGACAATTTACTGATGGTAGCAAACATTTATATACCTATTCATATATTTAGTACCTAGTTCGAGTGCATTAAATAATTATTATTTTCGAATATTAATAAAACAATATACAATGCGCGTGTACGGTTGACCAGTTATCGTGTTGAACCGGTCCAACATCAGACGATATCACCTTAGAAACAAAATAAAAACGGTCATTGGTTATATTATATAATTGAATCTAGGCGTCGCTTAAATGGAAATACTTAAGTTATGCCCAGGGTATCTATCAATGGGGGTTTTTTTTTAAATGGCGTTATTTCACAAAGCAGAGTTATGTGTGAATTATATGGCTATTTGTTAAAAACTACGGCTAGAAATTAGATATTACTCTCTTACTAACCGTCATATTTATTTTTAAATGTGTCGTAATACGGAAATATTTAAAATCCAGCTTTGCGGTGCATTTGGACTAATTTCCGTCACTGACGTTCAAATTCTCGATCATTAGGTCTATGCCTTATACCCGGGGAATGATCTACAAAATTTAAAAAAAAAACCTCACGTAATTCGAACCAGTAAATTTTAGATTATGAAATTTCCGATCGTCTTGCCTTTGCTACAAAATTTTCCTTGCACTCCTTAAGATTCCTTCGTCGACTTGCTTTCTAAGCACCGTTCGCTTTTATACCGTACATGACAAACCAACTGGTCCACTCTTCCATCTAACTATGCTTCTTGGCATAGAAATATTTCACCTGCTATTACAACTCACTCGTGTTTCTGGGGTCTGGATATCCCTAGACACCTTATAGTATAGCCTACTCTCGGTTACGCACCGATCACAATCTGCTACCGTCGCATTCCTATATAGTCTCTCACTCAAATCTTTCCCTCTTTGTCTTTTGCACCTATCAAAGATAAATTGTGACATTTCACATATCCTTTTCAACTGTCCCTCTCTCCATTCCAGTCGTAAATTAATGTTTTCTCTTCTGTCCTCCGTCGGTTACACTTCTCCGGATATCCAACTTCTTCTTAGTTCTCGTTCCCCTACCATTATTTCTTCCATTATTTCCTTTATTTTAAGCGCTGGCTTCTTTGTTAAATATATGTAATTATTAAAAATGTATTGCACTATTTTGTATCATATAGTGTGCTATAATGTGTAATCACAAAATAAAATAAAAATGTAAACATGTAGTCTCGGATGGCGAAAACCTATTCGGCTAAAAATGATAATAACCGCTTATTTTTCAATTTAAAAAACTATACCAATAATAAAATATTTGGGATTCAATGAAGTAATATTATATAAATATATAAATATGTAAATATATTATAATTTATAATTATTCCAAGTAAATGTTCTATGTTCTAATTTTATTTAAATGAAGTTTGTATGTGCTTTGCAGCACCGGCCTCTTATATTCAGTAATTGTATTCAATAAAATAAAATATTTGAATAATTTTATTTATTCAAATTTTATAATAAAAAAATCACAATTAATTTTTGTGGTGTATGGAATCCACATGTTAAATAGTTATTTTTTAAATACAAACAAATACATACAATCTACATATAGTACATAATTCCAACAATGCGCTATTTTTGTAAATATTGGACAACGTGCAAATTTCATTTCGCACTAGTCATGAATGCTCATTATGTTCTGTCACTACTACTACTCTTATTCACTTTGCTTAATTATTTTTGATTAAGTAAAACATGAGTTAGTAATAATACAAACATAATACAAAAAATATTATAATCATTAAATATATACAATATACTTGTATACTCAATATTTTGTCCAGCAGTATAAACTCTTGACATTAGCTCGTATAGTTAAAATACTAAAATTAATATTTAAATTAGCTTAAAAAATAAATATAGTTAACCCTTTCGTTACTGACATCCTCGTACAAGGATTTAACTTTAAAAATCGAATAAAATATTAACAACGTACTATCAATATAAAAAATGACTTCAAACACAAGTTCTAGTATAGATTGATAATAAAAAAATCGACACAGCTATATTGTTAATCAATATCAGTCCAATACGTAAAAAAACTGTTTATTTTTTTTTCGAAAAAAAAAAGTTCCAGGAACGAAAGGGTTAATAACCAAAATAGTTTTTCGGTCAAAAGTTTTTCTATCATATGATTTATGTACATTAATGATAACTAGGTTATAATTTGTATACACGATTTTTCAATTGAGTAACTGCTAAAAGTGTAGCATTCTACTCTATACATAACATAATAATAATATATTTACAATGTGTTAAAACTTTTAACATGCTGACACTCACGTTGTACGATTCGTGTGGTATATTTTAATAATTTGTTACATTTGTATTCGTGTCCTTACTATAAAAATAGACATTTTTTATTACGCTGAAAGGGCCACTGTAACTCCTAGCTTTATTAAAATGCATGTTTTAAAAGTTTATTTTTATCAATCTCTGACTCTTCTAGCATATTATATTGAGCGTTATATTTATATATATATATATATATATATATAATTAAATATTTATTTTTTAAATAGTTTTCTTCAGATACATAGATACTCAGGTACACATTATTATAAACACCTATAGTAATATTATGTTTTCATAAATAAATTCAAATTTTGAAATAACTGAAGACCTAAAGTCCTGTAGAAGTGTAAGCATATAAAAATGTTTACAGGGTATATTATTTAAATTATTTACAACATTTTCGGTTACACTTGTACTTAAATATTAGCTTTGCTAACGTTTCGGAAGCCTTACGTCTTCCATTTTCAGTGCTGTTTTTCCGTGTTAAGTCCCATGTTACTCGTTCGGCTGCTGCCCGCAGACTCACGTTGGCAAATATGGAAAATATGGGTATAACCGAAAACTTTGAAAATTATTTAAAAAATAAATTAGTTATTTATTTTGAGTAAAATTAACAACAAAATAAATAAATATAAAACATAATATTATTTATTTTAGTCCGTATTACGTTTTTCATATTATTTGATTATATATATATAGAACTTGTAATTAATTATTCTATTTAATATTGATAATAGCATCATTAATTAACCATAAATGTACCTACTTTTTAGTAACAAGGGTGGTTTGAACTTTGACAGTACATTTCATTAAAACAGAATATTGATACAAGTTTTTAAATGTTTATATAGGTAATATTTATAATAACACAAGACATATTATGTTTTTCAAGTTTTGTAGCTTTTATGTTTTGTATTTAATATATATGTTAATTAAATGTTATAATAGAATATACTACTAAAAATAATAAATCTGAAAACCGCAGTTTTGCTTGTATGTAAGTATTGTATTTTATGTAGATCAATAATAACAATATCTTCTTAACATCACAACTTAAAGAGTCCAAGCAAAATAAACGCGCATGAATTCGATTAACGAGATTTGCTCCATGCTATTTTCTTAATAACTTCAGTGCTAGTCACTAGATTTTTGTATATTTGGTATTATAAAGTGTATTGTCACCTTTAGCAACGAGGGTAGAGTGAATTTAATCGGTGAATAAAAAAGGCCGTTATGGAACAAACAGCTAGTGTCCATTGTTGTTAAATGACATTTAAGTTAAGTTGAACTTTAGTTGAAGAATTTACCAAGATTATCTGTGCCAAACAACCCGAAATGGATACCATAAAATGGCACAGGTAACCGTGGAGGTGGGACAGCTAAAAGAAACGGATGCAACGGATACTGCTTAAAGCTCTATGCAATAGTCGGTCCGCCAGATTGAAACGAAGACCAAGAAGATTAAACGCTCAAGATCTCTAAACAGAAACATGATAAGACTAGTGAGTAGTGACCCCACCTTCGTAATAAACGCAGGAACAATAGAACCAGCGGAGGGAAAAATTCAATTGTGGACGGAAGTGGTCAGACGCAATAGGGCCCCTATGTTGCAACTCACTACTCATTACGAATAAAACCGACAAGATACTAGTAAAGGCAGGGCACGAAACAACAAGCGATACACTAACAATACAAGTCAT